CAGAGAGTGGTTCGGGGATTGTACCGCGCGATGATTCGGTTTGTCGCGCGCGGACAAGCTCCAGGGGTGCGATCGAGGTGAGTCATCGCGCGATTGCGATGTACTTTTATCGTGCGCGACTAAGCATGGTGATGTCAATCACTCTGTTACCACAGAGTATGAGGGAATTCCAGATGCAAGATGAGTGAAAGTAGGTGTGAGCGCTACGCGACTGCGCGCTCAGTTTCTACGTTTTGCGTGAATACCTTGGTCATGACAACGACTGTACCTGAGCGGAGCAATGACCTCATCCATGAAAAAAAAAGTTTTCCAGAATCTCGGTAATATCGTGTTGGTGAAGAATCGTCACAAAGTCCATCAACCAGTGGAAAGCAGAGGAGCTGCGACACCTGTGGAACCGGCGGGTGGAGCCTACACGCGTGGGTAATTCCTTCAGAATTTGACCCATGAATGTTGAAGGTCTTTGAGGAGCTCGCAACGACTGGTGAATTTTTGGGCTGTGGCGGAGACAAACTGGTGGTTAGTGAAGGCATGCAAAGCGTTGTTTTCCTGGTGAGAGACGTGGCCGCATGAGTGTGTTGCCGCATCCATAGGCTGGTGTCAGACATTGCAAATCGAGCAAGTCGCGGGGTGCGAGCTTTCGTAAGCCCGGGAAAGTAGTGAGAGTTCATGTGTTTTTGAGGGGCAGCGCAATTCCGGCTTCGCGCTTCGTACGCTCTCGACCACACTTGGCTACTTTGGGAAGGGAGGCCAGAGCAAAAGGGTTAGGCGTGACTTCGTGATATCCGGGTAGGGAGCCGCCGCTGTACGGGTGGAGCCCAGGATAAGAAGATGAATTCCAGGGACAGTGAAGATTTATTCGCCCTACGTAAAGCTCAGTTATAGAGAGTGGGAGGGACTCGAAGGGGAAATGCTGGATGTGCTCGGCTGTCCACACAATGATGCCTTCCCCCAAAGTATACCGGCGCCATATCCTTTTGAGGGCAGAATTTGCGATGAAAAGTAAGCTCACTGGAATAAGGGCAGAGATGGTCAGCGGAGCAGGCATGAAGATTTTGCGCATTGATGCGACTCTCATCGTTGTGCCCTCTTCAACACTGCGCTCTCTCTGCTATCTAATCACTCGCCACGTATAGACCTGCGGCGAGTGATTAGATAGTCGGTGGGCGTACCGCCAACTGCGCCAAAGGGAAGGCCATGTTAGATCGCTGGGTGCATACCTTCGATGCGAATTGCGTGTCGGTTCTCACTCTTTAGGGGTCCATAAGTAAATTACTGCTTTTTCGACCTTCGTTTTGATCGTGGAATCCACCTTTCAGTGGGTTTTTGTTCTCAAGTCTTTGACACCGAGTATAAATGCGAGCTAACCTTATACGTTGAGCCCGAGAAATATGGGATACGTTCACGCATGCGCGTAAAATCGATGACCATTTCATTGAGCTCTAATATATGAAGATCATGCTTAAATATAGTGCATTAATATGACTGTTTTCAGCGGTTTCCAATTCTGCACACCGCGATGCTGCTGTAAGTGTCAAATTGTGTATCTGCACATGTGAAACCGTATAGATGAACTTTGTTAAGGCGAATGTACCGATTGGCTCCACCGGAGGACCAGGCACGCAGAAGACTGCTGCGCATCATTTGGGTGAGTAGTCCCCTTCGAGTTTCTATAGGCAGCTTCATAAAAAAACGGGACCTAATTTCAGATACTCCCTACCCGTCGCAGCCGCCTCCTGATGTAAACATACCACCACTGGAAGGTGCAGAACCAGTAGCACCTACCACCACCGCAACCAATAGAGAGAGATTGATAGAAAAAGCTCGTACTTCTTATTTACACTACCTCTAGACTCAAGCAACGGAATCCAGTGTATTTGGGCTAGATTACGGCATAGATCATCGAACTTGCAACGAGAATACATCCGTTTATAAACGTAGGCAGAAGGGGACACCCTACCTACTATTCCAACTACAATACTGTTGTGATCACTCAAACCTACGGGAGGTACAACTTCTAATCCTCTTATGAGATATGTGTTAGAGAAAACTAAATCGAGAATGTTGTCGCCCCTGGTGGGTTCTCCTACATGCTGGATAAGATTGTGACACTGAATCAGCTCATTCAGACAAGCCTTTGCAGCTGAAGCGGGACAGGCCTCTAATGGGTGGCAGAAATCCGGCAGATTGAAATCACCCTATGATAACGCTATGCCCCTCATGTGATATCAAGTCACTAAGAGCTTTTACAAGCACCTCGGAATTGGCTTTGGAACACGAGGGCGCCCTATTAAACCACAATCATTCTGAAACTAGAGCCTTTGCAAAATACGTTTACACAAAGTATCTCAAAGAAGTCCTCTACCGATTCGGCAAATACCAAAGATAATGAGAACCTACGTTGAGCCAAAAGAATAACACCACCACCAGGTTCCTTGGAACGATCACATCTAACCACAACCTAACCACAAGTATTTTTAACCTCACTCAATAAACAGGCCAAAGTGTGGGTTTCAACCATGTCTCGGAGAAGGCAAGAATGTCGTAATTGTCAGCCAGCAAAATCTTTACAAAGTCCTTGTTTTTAGAGACTGATCTTACATTAGAGTAGAAGCACCTAAGCGTTCTAATATACCGAGGAAAACTTTCAATTTCCATCGACGCTATTAGAACGATTGCCCACATGGCTAGGACCAGGAGTGTCGCTTGAACCACCACTGGCGGGTGGTGCACCGTTACCGTTCCTAACCAGCTCCTCTCGTCTTCGCTTCCTTTGCTCTAGGGTCAGGGATTCCCTTAAATAGACGCCCTGCCCAGGAAAGTAGGGGAGTCGGGAGGCTCTTTTTACCGCCAAACGCTGAAAAAGTTGAGAAGGTAATACTACCTTTAACAACCTGTTCTTACCTAGTAGAGGTTTACCTAGACGGTACACACTCAACGGGTTACATTCAGTTCCGAGAAACTAGAATATTACATACACTGGTGTAATCGTACGATAAACGTCCCCTAATGTTTTGAGATTTCTGTTCAGGTATGCCGATGAGCTGATTATTATGGAACGGAGCCTCTCGATGACCGCGAACCTCTGACACATGATTAGGTGGCAACTCACGAGGCACCGACTTACGAATTGATTCCAATTCTCGCCTTAGCTCCATGTTCTCCACGTGCAGTGATCGGAGCTCCCGTGAAATCGCGTCGATCACCTTTATTCCCTCAGCTACACGGCTAGACTTCGCAATTGCCTCTACTTGTTCCTGCAACTCCTTGGAGAGCACCACATCCACTACTTCAAGATCGCTCTGCCCATCAGCATTCCTCGCGGTGTCGCTGCGTAGGTCCATTGTGAAATATATCAATTGATCAATGTCAAAATTAATCGATCGAACCACGAGCGGCGAACGTTCCGCTGACGCTCGCAAAAACAGTGAATTACCTCTACTGGTGGCACTCAAGACGATCCAGTAGTGCCCACGTGCCACAGCGAGCGAAGCGTATATCCGTTACAGCAGAAGCAATCGCAGAGAAAGATGGGCGTTTAGAGCGGCGATGGGGTGAGCCGCCGCACAGCACAGAGTACAGGAGGTTCGGTTGGTTGATCTGACCGTATCT